GAAATTATGGTGCACTTAGTGAGTATCCTTACCTGCAATGTTGCTATTTTTCAGGCAAGTAGGTTTGTCCCAGGTTTTGATGCGAAATGTTATCATTCCATAGAAGTATCTTTTAATATATTAAAAATTTCAAAGACCTTATCGACAGACAAAAAGACATAAATATGAAAGATAAACCTGTGGCTAGTTTAGATATTAAATCTTTATACACTGACCTACCTGCTAACAAGGCCGTATAGGTAAGACGATAAACTACGTCCAAAATCCCGTCCTGAGTATGACGATAAACTACATCCGCGTCCAGGGTAAGACGATAAACTACATCAGACAGCAAGACCTTAGATCAGTAGGTTTCGAGTAGCGTGGAACCACCTCTTAATTGCTGGTGTTCCCAGGTCTACCCTGACTCGGAGTGGTAGCACCTGTTAGGGTCCCAGCTATGGGCAAATTTTTAAACCCAAACTCGCGTCAAAACATTATGAACGTGTAAAAATAGGTTTTAGTACCAGCAATACATTTTTGTAAAAAATTACAACGGGCAATGAATTTTTGAACGAAAACATTACCAGCAATAAAAATCTTGTGGGCATTAAATAACTCATTGAGATTGATAAAAATAAAGCAAACCAAACCAAGCCAAACCTGCTAACAAGTGGCCTCCCCGGTCTTTTGAACAGGGGAAGAGGTTTATACCTTGTTTCCTGTTCAGGATTGTATTTCTGGTTCCTTTTAAAGTCTATAGTCTATATTTCTAATGTACCCGTCTAAACTATGAAATTTTATTTACTATTTATTTCCTCAATAGGAGTAAATAGGTTTGCATATCATCCGGTCCATACTCCCTCCCGAGCTTCTGAACAGGAGTAGGGTTTATCTCTTATTACCTGTTTAGGATTGGGTTTCCGGTTCCTTTTAAAATTTTCTCACTCTCTTTCACTCCCAGTAATCCGTTGCATCTTAGTGGCATTATTCCCTTGCTTCGGGTAAACTGATTAATACACACACACACACACACACACATATATATATATATATATATATATATATATATATATATATATATATATATATGAATTATGCACAAAGTGATGGTGCTATAGAAACTGGTCAATGTTATATAACAGAACTATAATATATATATATATATATATATATATATATATATATATATATATATATATATATCACACCGTTTGCACTACTCGGAGTTTCATGCCAAATGCAATCTTCAGGTGCTGAGTGTATACTGACCGTTAATCGAATCTAATTTGAAATTATATCGTAGTGCTAGCATATTTATGCACTATCTATATAATGATATATTTTTTCAAAAACTTTAGAAAACAGAAGTAATTAATTATATTTTTCATGACATTAAATCTACCAAACTAAATCAACCGGTATTACCAAATAAACATAAAACATAAGTAATTATTAATTTAATTTTAGAGCGGTAAGTTATCAACTATAAATTATTAATTATTAATAATAGAAGAGATGTAACTTAATTTTATTTAATATAATATAATAAAGTTATTAGAGTAAAAATATACAATAATAAATAAATAAAATATAAAAATAAATATATATTTAAATAAATATAATTATATATAAATAAAATAACTAATAAAACTATTAAAAGCTATAAAAATAAAGATAAATAGCTAAAAATAAAATGAAATAAAAATTATGAATTAAAATATAATAAAACATCTATATTAAATGAAATAAGTAAAAGCCCATAAAATGTAGATACTAAATAAATAAATAAGTTAACAAACAAATAGATAAATAAAAATAATCTACACTGAAAACTAAAGCGCGATAGTATAGAAAAATTAATTTGGTTCTACGTGCTTGAGCAGATATTTATTTTTAGGCCTACATGTGTCCATCAGTTCTTTTCTCTGATTTAATAAACCCGGGTTATTTAAATGCTGTAATAAAATTATTTGTTCAGCTAAACACAGCCTGCATTTATTCCCCTTTATATTCCATTTAATAGAAGGCAAATTGCCGGAAAATTTCAATTGCCAGAAATAATTAGATAATATGTATATTCATTTATATATATATATATATATATATATATATATATATATATATATATGAAATTAAATATTTAGCTGTCATTTCTTCTTATGAGCGTTATTTTTAGTCTGACCCGCGTATTCGAGATGGCATCACCGTTTCACTATTTAAGAAAATAAAAAAGCATGCCAACTCAAACTGGTATTGACACTAAAAGTAACGTTACTAGCAATAAGAAAGAGATAAGTACATATATGTACTCAGTAAGATTCAAATACCGTTTTAGGAAAGGCACATCTCGTACAGATCTTGTCAAAAGACTACATCTACTTAAATGTCCCTATCTTCTGGCATTTTCTTTCCTATCTGAAAGTTCTAAGAATGTTACTTTGATTCTGACACTAAACTTTATTTTTCTGGATATACATGTTTGAGTAGACGCCCTGCATAATACAAACACACACGCAACACACACACACACACACACACACACACACACACACACACACACACATATATATATATTTTATATATATATATATATATATATATATATAGTTTTAAGGTGTGCTATATTAAAGGGACAAAGTGCTCAATATCCGAGATAGAGCGTATGTAAATATAAATATATAAGTGAACACTGGAGTCAACACTCAGATGATTGCGCCTAGCATGAAACAGCCTGTCTCCTCTGAGTTTTGCCTCCAATGTTCACATTTATATATATATATATATATATATATATATATATATTGCGTCTAGCATGAAACAGACTATCGCCTCTAAGTGTTGACTTCAATGTTCACACATATATATATATATATATATATATATATATATATATATATATATATATATATAACTCTTCGTGCTTCAATTTATTCAAAAGGCTAATATATAATAAATCTCATCAATCTTATTGCCAATATTATTATTATTTGCTTGTCTTTTTATTCATCACATTTCATTAACCTGTCTATTAAATCTACATATATATACATATATAATAAACTATAGAGAACTACACACAAACACTCACACACACACAAATATATATATATAAAACATATAGAGAGTTGTGTGTGTGTATGTTATATATATATATATATATATATATAAATCGAGTTCACCACATGCAAGGCAGTAAATCCACTGAGACACAAGGGGTTATTGAGTGTGGAAGAGTTAAAAAGAAGAACATTGCTAAGGATCAAGAACAAAAGAATCGCAATCAGGAGACCAGTAGATAGCGACTGGTAGTGCAGTTAAATTTTTGCTGATTAAAATTGGCTGGTAAGCAAGCATGGATCCGGAAGGGATTTCCACAAGCGATAATTGCGAGAAAGAAACTGTTAGCATAGAATTTAGTTACATGAAGCCATATATGTTAAGAAATGGACGAGGTCCGACAATTTATTTATTAAAGACATTTTTATTTATGTTTAACGTTGGTATCTATAAAAATAACAACGTTAAACATAAATAAAAATGTCTTTAATATGAAGCCATATATATATATATATATATATATATATATATATGTGTGTGTGTGTGTGTGTGTGTGTGTGTGTGTGTGTGTGTGTGTGTGAATAGACTCAGGAGACATGTTTTTAAAGACTGGATAAATCACCTCGCATTGTGCTTCGATGCCAGTTTGCATTGACGTGTACAAAAACTGGGGAAGTCCCGGTGTTTGCTCACAAACGCCAGAAACCAATATATAAAGCTGTTTCAATAATTATTTTTATTTATTCAAGTACCTTTTAGGAATAGGTAGGTGACAATTGGTATAACTTCGCTACTACGATAGACTGTCGGGCCCGATCATTCCTTCAATTAATGAAAACTCTGACTTTCTCCTCCCATCTGACTACCCATTTCTAATTCACGACTGCCACCTTCCTGATGGCGCCCATGCATCTCCATCGACAGCCTGTCTCCAACGGATACCTCGAACCTACTGACAGTTATAACTATGATCCTGCGCACATAAGCCTGTGACCGGATCATCTTAAATTCCAGCCAGGTGACACATGATCCTGAAAGATTTTATTTATTATTTTTAAGTCAACGGGTGGACGCTTTAAAACGCACATTTCTAGAGTTTACTCTCTACACAGTAATACAATCTAGCCCAGATAAAATCATTTTGGGTTCACTTGATTTTGTGTGTGTTATAAGAATGGCCGAATCCCACTATGTCATAAGCACTATGGGGAAAAGTGATTTTTTATCGGCTGCTGATGCTTTAACGCATCGCTCTTCATAAGAATTGAGCGCTATGGGAGGGGCGGTATGACGTTTATGTATCACGTATATAATGCGTTAAAAATCCCTTTCTCTGTCGAATGTCTAGCCACAATGATGAGCTGTGATACAGCGAAACAGTTTGTCTGTAGATAACTATATATATATATATATATATATATATATATATGTGTGTGTGTGTGATGTGTGTGTGTGTGTGTGTGTGTCCTTGGTGGTGGGGTATCGCTAATTTATGCATGGTATATGTTATTTTGCCAGTATTCAAATTGAGCACATTCTTTAAATGAGGACATTAAAAATTCAGCAACGTTTTACCATTGTTCAGCCATGTATTCCCATCATGCATCAGTTATATTTTCCCATAGTTTCCCATCTTTTCCCTACTCCCTCCGTTTCTTGTTTCTACATAATCACATCAACTGGCAATATGTTAACAAACAACAGAAGTTTTTCTTAGTCACACATTATAGAATTTGACTCGGTATCACAATAAGCTAGTGTGCTTATTAATACTTTGAGAATGTTTCGTTGCTTCCCTTCTACTATTTTTCGCCATTTTTGTTTCTTTTTGTTTTCAATTGCTTTTATACGGACCCTTAGCCTTACCCCACTTTCTTGCCAGAAAAGATCACTATTATCAGTCAATTAGTTCCGTTTATCTCCCTTGTTAGCGCTCTTTTGTGTCCTAAGGGGCGAACGTTATGAAAGACATCGAGGCGAATGCTGGAAGCGAGCTGTGATGTGTACTTCGTTAATCGATGTGACTCTGAGATTTCACTGGTCGATTGGCGGGACAGAAAAAAAAAATTACCCATAAACCCATTCGGCCTATTCTTCCTCGGTATTCTTTTTCCATTAACTGCACATTAGCGGCCGATATTGGAAAAGGCTCGTCGCTGACGGCCTTCTATTTGATTCCCTTATTCCTCCCCGCTTCCAACCCATCAAGCGTTGACCATTGTATTAATATGAAGAGATAAGCGGAGTGGATAATGGAATGGCAAAACCAAATCTCGGATAATGATTTGATTTTTGCTGCTAATAACGTCAACGCAGCGTAACAGATGAATGCGTTAATGACAATTTTAACGCTGTTGATATAGTCCATTACGGCTAGTTGTCTATTTACTGCGCTACCTCCCAAACCCTGAATACACCCATTCTTCGTCATGACCGGGTCGTCAACATACGTCTACCATCTTAGATTTCCTCAGCACTGTTTTGTTTGAGTTTAGATCTCTTTTTCACGTTTCGTTTCTTCACTTCTCGTATTGCGTCTTTTTTATGCATCCCTACTGTTTAGCGTCTCTGTTTTGTTGAATCGTTTCTTTTTAAGCTTGATTTGCCAGTTTCTGTATTTAACAACGTGTTTTTTTTTTGTTTTTTTTTAAACTCTGTAGTGTTTTTATTGTTTTTCTCTCCCTTCTTTCATTATTCTTTTCTTATGCCCATCTTTTTATTCTCGCTTTCGTTATTCTTTATTTTCGTTTTCATTTTTTATTCATCTTTCCTCTCTTTTTAATTCTTTCTTGTTTGCTTTCCGTATTTCTTATTTCATTATATTTCTCTGTTTTTGTTCTTGTTGTCTTTTTATTCTTTCCCTCCGCGTCAAATGTTGTTTTTTCTCCTTTGCCTTCTCAGTTAATTTTCCCTCAACCTATTACGTCCTTTCATTTATAGATCTCTTTGCAGCTTTCATATCATTATTAATTTGCACTGTCCAGCCATTTTTTCTTTTTAATTCTCTATTCTTTATTCCTGCTTATACCACGTTCATCTCTATTTTATCTTTCTATTACCGTAATCGCCTTCTTTTTTTTTTCTTCTTCTTCATTTTCTCTTTATCATTCTCTCTCATTTCTAAACTCCTATTTCCTATTGTCTCTAATTCTTCATCATTTTCCCTTTCCTTTTCTCTCTCAATTTCTTTTTTCTCTTATATTCTCCTACTTTTGTTGCTCTTTTCTTTTTTTCTTTTTTTCTCTAGTCTACTTCATACCCCTCTTTTCTTTCTTTCCGTCTCTTTCGCATTGTCTCATTTTTTCCTGTTCTCTTTTCTTTGTTTTGGATCTTCCACTCTCTTATACTTTATTTACTTTCTTCCACTACTTTCTCCTCTCTTTCTATCTTTTTCTCCTTTTATTTCCTTCTTTTTATTTGTTCCCTCGTAATTCTTTCTGTCTTTCTACCTCTATCCATGATACGCCCTTTATTTTTCTTCTCTTTTCTTCCTTTTCTTTTACAGTATATCATTTCTTCTTTTTAATCTCTTATTCTCTTTTCCTCACTTTATTCTAAACCTTTCTTTTGGTTCCTATCTTTATCTTATACATTTTGTTCCAACTAGTTTTCATCTTTTAATTCCCCCCTTCTAATTCTTCCCATAATTCCTTTTATCTGTGCTTTATCTTTCTTTCTTTCTTTCATTTATTTCTAATGATATAGTACAGAGTAACCCTTTCCCTTACCGCTCATCCTCTCTTTAACTCAACTTGTGTATTACACTCGTAAAATCATTGATTCGTTTGCCTATTTTCGTTCTTTTTATATTCGTCAATATTAGCCATTTGCCCAATTTTTTATTCTAAAAAATCTTTCAATTTGATTTTCTCTTTTGATATTAATTTCCCTTGTATCCGCCTAATCGTGAACAGGTATAAACGCCTACGTTTCTACAAACCACGGAGTTTGCGTGTATTTCCCTCAGTACGCTTGTTTATACCTGCATTTGTTCAACAACAACTATATGTAAGCTCCTGAAATGTGCATACCTATGAATTAGCATGTTATGTACTCTTACAACATATTTTTTCATCAAAAAATGGGTTTGAGATTTCACTGTTTTCAGTATTAATTTTTTCCCTTCATATTAAAAGTCATCTGTATTTATGTTTTTTTTGAATATAAGTCATTTTTTTCTATTCTGTGAAATATATGCCAGACGCTTTTTTGATGGGCTGACCCACATAAAAAGAATTCGGCTTGTGATATCTCCACAGATGAGGGTCTTCAAAGCGGCTACCCAGTTGAGCAAAAGCGGATAAAATAATACGTAAATAGATTAAAACCTTTGGGGTCAAGTGACAATACACCGAACGTTGAGGATTTTCGGAGACAACTGGGATTGAGTGGAGTTCTGAACAACCGTTTGGCGGGAAGGGACAGATTGTCCTGCATGGTAGTTCTGGTGCCGTCCGTTAGAGTTGCCAGTCACGCATCAGGATTGCCAGAGAGAGAAAGAAAGAGAGAGAGAGAGAGAGAGATCTTGTTGGTTGAAGAGAAGAGCAGCCTATTTGTCAAGGTGGAAGGAGTGTCATCTACTTAAATACCCAGACCGTACAAAAGAATCTTTAAAATAAATAACACAATATATTGGAAACAGGGCTCGAGTTTTAACTTTGTGCAGTAGTATTTATTTTCACTTTTCGTTTCCATGTGAGCATGCAGCGGACCTTTCCCAGTTTTTGTGCACACCAAAGCAAACCAGAGCATAGAAACTTAACGTTAGATAATCATTGTCCGAGAGCCTTGTTTAATATTTAGAAAAGCAAAAATATGTACACACAAACACAGACACGCGTATTTTTATTTTTATTTCTATTTTTTAATCATTTCATACCATCAATAATATAAATGCCATTGGTATGTGGGGTTACATACAGTATACATTTGAAAATACTGGATATAAGGGTGAACGAGGAAAGGATAAAAATGTTTAACAGGGTTCAATAAGGTACAAGATTATATATTGACGTTGCATTTAAATTTTTTTGAAGATTGTTTTATCAGGGAAGCAAGGAAAGGAAGGAATTCAACAAGCAAAGTGCGATATAAAAAAATCTTAGAATCAAAATAACTATTTTCAACAATAAAAATATTGGAAACTTTATGCCTAAAACATTTAAACTCGTATCTGGGTATCAGGGGAAAAACTTATAAATGTCAATGATTGATGAAAATTATTTGTAGAAAAGACTTTTTCATTTTAACGCTCATGTAGCCACATCATTTGCGGTGAAAACATTGAATATTATATATATATATATATATATATATATATATATATATAATACAATTATAGAGAGAGAGAGAGAGACTGAAGTATATATATATATATATATATATATATATATATATATATATATATGCATCATTTTTTTTATAATAAATGTTTGATTAAAAAATAAATTATTTTTTTAAAAAACTTTTTTTATTTTTTGTCGAATCATATTTTTTTGGGGATTTTTTTATAAAAATTTAAATATAAATTTCTGATGTCCAAATACTTTTATATTTATAAATCATTATCATTTCTATTGGTTTGATTTATATATATATATATATATATATATATATATATATATATATATATTTGAACAATAAAAAAATATCAAAAAATTAAAATCTTTAGACACACTGGGTTGTAGATTAATATTCTTTCGTTTTTTTATTATTATTTCATTTAGATTCCTCGACTAGTTTCGACCAAAATGGCCATCATCAGGAGGAGAAATATTTCTGCTTGCTGGTAGCAGTAAACTACAGAAATGAATGTCTTGATGGAGAAAATGAACTTTTGTCTGTAGTTTTCATTTGTTTTTTTATTTTTTATCTTTTTAACATGAATCTTTTAACATTCCTTGTGTTGGTCAAACAGTCTCTTTTAAGTTGTTATTTGAGATAAGAGCTGGATAGATACATGCTGCTCTGAATTCCCTGGTCAGTTTGACAGTTTTATTGGACCTGGTGAGGGGATGTGTCTCTGTTTAGTGTTTGTGTGTGTGTTATTTGGTTCTTAGGGAGTGAGTGAGTATGATATGTGTAAGCGTGTGTATTGCTGTGGGTGTGTGTTATCATTTGGCTCATTAGGGAGTGAGTGAGTATGATGTGTGTAAGTGTGTATATTCGTGTGGGTGAGTGTATAAGTGTGAGGCCTCCACACCTCCGTAAGCATGTCTGTCTTGTGTGGGTGAGAAATGTGGGTAGGTTTTGATTTGTTGAGTTATATATTGGTACTATCTATATATTGTTAAATTTATGGTTTAGCCCGGCTGGATATTTTGTTTTTAGACGTTGTATCCACTTATTTTCATGGGACTCTAAAATCTTTCTAATGTTATCTGCTCTGAACTTTTCTATTCTCTCAATTATAGTGAATTTGGCATGGGTTTTGAAATCGTGTTTTTCAGGCGGAAATGTTGTTCTACAGGTAATAATTTTTCATGGGGAGTCGACTTAATTCGATTACGATAATTATTAATTCTGTAGTGAAAGGGCCATTCAGATTTTCCTACATATTGTTTCTGGCATAGTGTGCATTCTAGGAGATAAATTATGTTATGACTTCTACAGTTAGAATCATGGTAGATTTTGAAAATTAGATTTAGTGATTGAGCTAGTGAATGAATTCGTGTTTTTTAATATGGTTTTCCAACATAAACTTCTTTTGTTGTTACATGATTGGGAAAATCCTGTTGTTTTTGTTCTTAGTTTATTACGGATTACCTTGTCCCCTGAAATGTGGTTACTACCTATGATTTCTTTTTAGTTCTTAGGTCTACGATATGCAAGAAGGCCGGGTTCCTTAAACAATTTTTTAAGGTCTGGTTTGAGATGTAGTATTTCCCAGCGACGTTTGATTATTTGGGATAGTGGAGGCAGAGTGGGATTGAAAGTGGCTACTAGAATCCTGCGGTTAGATTTATTTTTTAATCTTGTACATTAGGGTCTCTTCTCTAGGTGTATAAATTGCTTTATTTATTTGTTCCCCTGATTAGTTGTTGTTTATAGCCACGTGTTGTGAATTGATGCTCCAGATTTTCAATGTGTTTATTTAATTCTTCGTTGTTGGAACATATCCTTCTGAGTCTAAGTGCTTGTGAACAGGGAAGGTTCTCCTTGAGGTGTTTAGGGTGGGCAGACATAAAGTGTAGATAGTTGTGGGTGTCGGTGATTTTAATGTGTAGTGTCGTTTGTAGTTTCCTGTTTTCATCTATGTAAATGCGGGTGTCTAAAAATGTTACTGATGTTGTGGATTTTTCAGAGTCAAACTTAATTGAGTCGTGCACTGTGTTTAAGGTCATAAGGAATTGGGTAAGTTTGTCATCACTACCCGTGTATACAAAGAATATATCATCGATATATCTTGCATAGAATACGCAGGCGCTACCAATGATTGGATAGATATGGGTCTCCTCAAATTTTCCCATGAATATTGAATATATATATATATATATATATATATATATATATATATAAACTAGTGAGCCAGAACTTACTACCAACGTTTCACCTAACGGATATTCAGGGTATTAATGGAGCCAGTAATACCCTGAAGATCCGTTAGGCGAAACCTTAATAGAAGGTGGGTTACAGCAGCAGAACACCACGCTAGGTGCTGCTCCTGCCAGATAGCAACAAGAAACTAAGGTTAAAATTTGTTTCAGTCAGTTATATGGCATCCGTGATACACGCTTAGGCGATCATGTATCTTTCGATTCATGACTGGCAGATTTTTCCCGCATTAGGTAAATTAAGATCACAAAAAGTCCCGATTTCTTTTGTGACAGTCGGATGGTAGAGACAGAATTTTTATCAATGGTTCAGGCGTTAAAAAAGGATATTGTAATGGTATAATGAAATAAGAAAAAACAACATATATTGGCGCCCTTTCTTTCGAATAAAAATCGTTTGAAAGTCGCAACCTACCTACGTATTTTAGTTGACCACGTGCCTCAATTTATGATTATAGTGAACCAGTCCTCTGATAGCCACTCCTAGGAGAACAACGCACCAGGTCACAATTTTAAAAAAATAGTGGCAGAGTTTTCTGCGTTAAAGTGACCTTCACAGTCACTGAGTCTAAATCCCTTAGAGCACCTGTGGGATGCGGTGGAACGGTAGATCCAATTCTTGGATGTGCTACCAAGAAATCGAAGAGAATTGCAGGATGCTATAAGAGCATGGATGGACATGAATTTCAAAAGAGCGCTTCCAGAACATCGCAAAATCAATGCCAAGAAATATTGAAGCAGTTCTAAAACCAAAAGGTGAGTATCCCAAATAAAGTGACCGGTGAATATATATATATATATATATATATATATATATATATATATATTAACATAGATATTTACAAAGTTGTGCTAATGATCAAAAACAGTTTGTTTTTTCGAACTCGTTTAAACTAGGTAATAAACTGAAAGTTTATTATTGATTGATTCGCTTTCTACGGTATTATTAACCATAGTATCAACCCATTGCAGGTTATTTAAAGCCAGAAAATATTTTTAAATTGTAAGAATTTGGGCGGGGAAATAATTAAACAATTAACACACGAGATTTCTGGCAATTAATTCATAGCTATTTCATGAGAGGAGGTATTGCATACATTCACCAATGATATCTGCGCAGGAGTGAATCTAACGAAGCCAATTGGAATTGGAACTCGGCTCTCCGATTAACAATTCCGAGCTATTATCCATAACACCCAAGCTCACAGCACCTGTCATTCGCAAGCGGTCACCCATCTAGGTACTGACCATGCTCGACATGCCTTAACTTCAGTGATCTAATGGATTCGGTGTTTCAACGTGATATGGCCGTCTGAGAGACCACGGTACTAGGGCAGACGCCCTTAATAGGTATTTATGAAGTTCAACTTTGAAATTAAGCTCAAATCTTGGGATACCGAACGTTAAAGAGGGAAATTCATTATTTAGATAAATTAACCCCTGATTTACGGTTTTGATGAGTTTTTGGATTATTAACAAAAGTTAGCTTAGTGTGGCATATGGCTTCAGCTATAGGGCATTCAATGAAAATCGAATTTGCAGTGATCGATGAAAATAACTTTCACCCATAGTACTATAGCAGGCAACATACGTGTAAATATGTATTAAACTTAACTATGATCCAGTGTCAAAATAGTAGATTACTTCTGAGACCTGAAGTTATTACACAAGGACAGCGAGTTTATTGCTTCAACATGCACCACGCATTATGCAAGAAGGAAATCAAGACATTATATTTATTTCCCAAACTTCGCTTAGAGTTGAAACAAGGTCACAAATACGGGGCACCTAGTAAAGGATTGAAGTCACTAATCAGTAATAATGAGTAGCAAGACCAGTTTTCAAACTATTGCCCAATAAGGTGTACAAACTATGATTAGTAACCCTTTGAATGCGTAGGTTAAGTTAGTTTGATGGTTGAGGTAGTTGCTTCAATGGTCAATAATGCTTTGAATATGTAAACAAGGATTGGTTGATGGTTGATGCAGTTGCTTTTATGTTAAAATGCTTGGATTACGTAGCTAAGGCCTACTTGGTGGTCGTAGTAGTTGCTACTACGGTTAATAATGATTGGAATACGTAGCTGAGGACGACATGATTATTGAGGTAGTTTCTTCTATGGTTAATAATGCTTGGATTACGTAGCTGAGGCATGCTTGGTGGTCGAGGTAGTTGCTTCTATGGCTAATAAAACTTTTAACGCGTAGCTAATCCTTGCTTGGTCATTGAGGTAGTTCTTTCTATGGTTAATAATCATTTGGATACGTAGCTAAGGCTTGTTTGATGGTTGGGTAGTTGCGTCAATCATCCATGATGCTTTATGTAGCCTAGGCATACTTGGTGATTAAGGTAGTTGCTTCAGTGGTCAATAATACTTTGAATACGTTGCTTAGGCCTGTTTAGTTGTTGAGGTAGCTGTTTCAGTGGTCAGTGTTGAATTCTAGGTTCAAGCAAAGATTTCAGATGTTGATTTTCAAAGCAGGCAGATACTCTTCGCTTGGAAGATCCTTCGTTTTCCAATCATGTCGCGATTTGGACTTACTACTACGGAAACTAAGTCAATATACAAAGTAGCTGCAAAACCTACCAGTATTATTATCTGTGGGCACCATCTTAACAATTCAGATGGCACCATGTTGATGGCAAACACATAAAGCAAACTACAACATCTATTAAAGAAGTTAGTAAAGGAAAGCTGGAAGACAGGAATAACTATCAATTGTAAAAACGCTCGGACTGTATGTTTGTCAGCAAGAGAAAGATGCGGACTACGAAAGGGAAATGTCAAAATCAAAACAAGTACAGAAGATTAAATATATGGAAAGTGTTTTAACAGACAATGGAAAATGTGACACCGAAATCCGAAGTTGCATTTTAATAGTAAACATGCCTTCAGAACAAAACAAAGTATTAAAAACAAAAAAACAGAAAAATTCCGTTAGAAACAAAGAAAAGCAGGGAAAACTGCTATGAAATATCAATCCTCCTATATGGCAGTGAATGCTGGACAATTTCCTCACAGCTGAGAAGACTTGAGGCAACGGAAATGTGACTCTACAGTAGGATACTAAGAATGAAATGTGTAAGCAACAGGGTGCGGGGTAAGGAAAATGGAAACAAAAATGGCATACTTGAAATCAGAAGCAGTTGAAATTTCTGGGAGACAAAAGACAGAAGATATATTGGCGGGAAGATGGATAGATGGAAACAACGAATAAGCTACCTCACGAGATTATGGAATGGATGGCAGAACAGGCGGTGAAAGTGTTAGTAAAAAGACATTGTTAAAAGCTACAAAGCATAGGAAATTGTGAAGAGCCATGATCACTCGCACCCTGACGTGACATAGAAGAAAAATACTGACGAGTCAGTCTTTTGTCTAGAAGCAAGCATTGAAGATTATTCGTAAATCAAGAGTAAAATCAACAAAAAAAACAACTTTTGAAATTCTGAATAAAAAGAGGGTTTATAACAAAACGGTTGGCCATTTTATATAACAAACTATAGCAAAGATAAATATATATATTCAATTAAGCAGTCTGTCTATATTTCTGAGATGAGGTATTATGTACAGTATTTACATTAGTCGGACTATTGTCCCCATCTTTGTCGCCATATTTGTCACAACGTTTCGGCCGTTGTACGCTCCGGCCTTCTTCAGGTGGTTGGAATTTCGAACTGAACCCTTTATTTCGATCACTGGGGTAGACTGTTCTAGTTCCACGTGCCATGTTTGATGGATGTCAGTTATCAGTTATCTCCTGCTAATTTTCCCTCTGAAAGTTCTCCACTGCCTTAACCAGGAATTGAACTCATCTTCTTTGGGTCTGTCACTGGATCTAACCAACGCCTTTATCCACGAGGTTGCTAACTAAAGCTGAAGAGCCCACTGTGTTCTATTTAACCCATAGCTAGGGTGAGACGATGTGATGAATTCATACCATTTCCCAAGGATATTTCCTTGTGAATGTAATGAACTCGACTGAAATTCAAACTCGAATATCCATTACACCACTACCATCACCACTACCATCACAAACCACGACCATCACCACTACCATCACAAACCACGACCATCACATCGACATAATAATTTCATCACTGCAAAGAGCAATTTATTAAAATCTAACTAAAGGAAACTGATGTCTGACGTTAATAATTTTTTCAATGATTAAAAATGAAAATAACATTTTCACCCAGGGCAAGATATTCATTGAATCAAATTCATTCTTCGTCCTAAATTTAACTCAGGGGAATTCTTTAAATTCCAACCGAAGCGTACACATTCGCGTATAAATTGATAGTTTTCTATTTGACCTCATTCTTGACACTAACAACATTTGTCTCCTCCAATAGCTGGGATAGCTTTTAAGCCATGGGCGACATTTTATTGAAGAGCGTTTAGCAAGGGGCGATAATTTTGCAATCGAAAAATCAGTTAATGACGTCTCCTTTCTCGGTATTTTAAATATGTAAATAAATCATTAACATGGGAGAGTAAATTCCCCACTGCACCCTTCTCATATATATGAACGGTTGTAAAAGGTTTTTATCCAACAGAAAAGGCAACTGCTACATGAGGGCTCTGATTGTGTTATTTCTTATCAGCAAATCACCCGTTTCATCTTCTTATTTTCTATCTGGTTTTCTACTACTGCATTTTCTTTCCATTGGGGACGATTCAACCAACCTTTTGCTCTACCTGTTCTCCTTCCTTTTGCCTGTGTGTCTTGTACACCTACATTGCTGTTACTTAATCACTTGTATGACTTTTTTTAAACTTTTATTTCACCCAATACAGGAATGGCTATTAAAGGCGAAAGTGCATATTATGAAGACGTGTAGGATAGATATCGATTGGCACTGGACTCGGAAAGACCAAGATTGTAGTTCTCGTGGAAGCATCCTCTCGGGTGTATGATACACAAAGTAACAGAAGCTATATGAGTGGAACTTATTCCTTATCAAAGAAACATGAAGGGAATGGGAATGATTTGCCACCGTGAATATAGCACGGCAGGTCCGAGTTGTGAAGAAACTAAGGAATGTAACGTTCCGAAAATCTGCCATCGTAATTGTGATAAAATAGTGAGCGGCTGGCAACATCTCATCTGTAGGATAAGGGTTGAAAGGTAGAGAATAATTAATCACCCACAAGGCCGTGTAATTGCTTTTTAAAATTTTCACTTTTGACTGTATTCCATGTTGATTCTATGTTGATCTCTTTTTATCTGTTAGAATTATTAGTAAACTGGTAACGTAGAGACTGGTTTACTAATAACCATTGTTAGGGTGTTTGAGCCTCATCAGGTGAACTATTCTTGTGACCTTGAGTTAGATCAAGCTACAGGTGGTACTATAGAATGATATCTACCGAGACATTTGCGACCTGCCGTAAATGATGATGCACTCTACCAAACAATCCACTTACGGCCTACAGCAATTAATTCCCCAAACTACATAAAGTGTTATTTTAACCCAAAGAGTTGGGTATTTATCAAATTTTTATTCATAAAATATGTATTTATGTAATTCCATTACAAAATAAACAAATTATGTCAGACAAAATAAACTCAATTGAAGATGAAGCGGTGTCCTTTTTAAGAGTTAGGGTTAGGTTTTTTTTTTTTTAGCATATTCCATACTTCCAACAGTTGATAAATATCATACCATAGTAGGTAATGAATAGTAGATATACCCTAGTAGAAAATGGATGGTAGGTATCATACTATAGTAACACTAAGCTACACTTAGTAAATTTCAAGTACTTGTGCGACAATTTTGACGCTATTACTATTATTATTATTATTTTGTGTGTAAACGCCAGAAATCAAAGGAAATAATAATAATAATAATAATAGCTTCAAAATTGTCGCATTAAGTATTGAATTAGATGAATTTTAATACGAATATATATATATATATATATATATATATATATATATATATATATATATATATATATATATTAAAATTCATCTAATCCAAAGCTAGTGGGCCACTTAAGGTAGAGGATTACTGCCAGAATAGCTATGTTAAATAAAGTTTGATATGAGTGAAAGAGGAGAGGATAAAGACGCCCAAAGCCACTAAAGATTGACCGTTACTGAAACAGGCTTTTGGTATGGGCCTAAGAGGTGGGGAGTAAGAAAGGCAGTTTATGAGGAAATATAGGATAGATAAAGATTGACTCTTCACTTGAATTGATTACGATCGTAGTGTTCAAAAAAGCTTCCACACAGAAGTGTGTTCTCCAGAGTAACAGTTTTTTGGAAATACATTTATGTGTGAAAATTTCTCCTTATATTAGGAAT